AACAGATCCTTTTGCATTTGTTTTAGTAAATGAAAAATTGGAGTGTTTACAATTTTATTCTTGATAAGGTCATCCACTTATAATCTAATGTTTTGGAGTTTTCTTATTCAATGTACTCGAAACTCAGCTACAATTTCATGAACTTCTATACTAATAGCCCCCTTAAATTGCCTTGATCTATGAAAATATTCATAATTGGCAGATCAGGATACACCTGTTTATTCTCCTCTTCCTGAAGGACTCATGTTGTCTCCCTTTACTTCTCTTAAAATTTTCTACTGCATCATTAATTATTTTCCTTCATGTTAAATGCTACAAATCAGCAATGATATGTGCATATCCAAGTTTACGCACACAGATATCCACCAATGTCTCACAAAAATGTTACAAATGCTGCATGTTTGCTGCCACACAAAACTTTCTGTGCGTGAATGTTTGTGCATTTTTAATACATGTCAAATGATGAAGTTTCTCATTTTTATGTCATGAGAACAATGGATGTTGGTGTCTTGTCTGCAACGACAGATATTCACAAGAGCTAATTCTATTCTCTCAGGTTGCAGAGGACATAGAAAACTATGGAACAGAGACGAATTCCAAATTGACAGGGCTGTTGCCTAACCTTCATGTTCAGTAAGGTGGATTCGGGTGGCGAATAAAAATCTCCTCGCCTGCAGTGTCATCCAAGACGGAAGCTAAGGGAACACACAAGCAGGTGCAACTACAGCTGAATTAGCCACAATAACCTCATTGGCTCACCTACACAGAGAAGTTCAACCGGTGATGCGAAAGTTCCAATCTTCGGTTAAATGAAGCACACCCTTGCTAGCCCTGCTTAGATCCATGCAAATTCTCAAGCACTCGTATTGTAAGCGCTATGTAGTCCGGTACATTGCTGTCTTAACTCAAACAGCAGATGCACTATTTCAGATTTCAATTGGAGTACGTGGACCTCTTTAAATGCGCTATGTATATGATATATACAAGTCGCGCTTTCTATTGCGTTAACAGGTATGTGAATTCTTGATGCATCCACTCAATTAATCTGTGTCAATGTGCTTGTTATGTTATGTTGCCTGAGATAGATACTTCACACCATCTACAAAAAGTCCACGTCTATTACACTACACATTTTAAATAAAAAAAATACACAATAATGTAACCCGTGTTGCCTCTATGCACCCTCCATTGTGTATCGTGGATGACAATGAGTCCTGTACCAAGCATCACCATTGTTGTCATAGATCATTTATTTAAATTGAATTGTGAATTGTTAGATTCATTTTATTTAATATGCATATATACTTTGTTATCATTTATAAACATATAAAAATGTACACTTTTTGAAATAAAGTTAAATTATCATATGGACTAAATCGTATATGTGCAATATACGTTATAGGCAAGATATATACAATATAACCATAATCTCTCATATAGTCTTGGTAGGGTTCCTTTGGCAAAAATAGATGATCGAATTTCAGGGTTAATGTCGTGTTGTGTCCTTCAATTTTGGGGGTATTAGTTCTACTAGTGTAACAAGCCTTAAATGAAATTATTTTGCCGTTTGGGTTATAATGTGTTTGTGCGATGGTGTGTTTGTAAGTATTATGTGTCAAGAAGATAATTATGGATAATGATTATAATGATTATGAATTTATAAATTCAATGATGTATCAAGAAGATAATTTGAGTATATTTAATTATCAACAAATTATCCTCTTAACACATCATTAAATCTAGTAAGTGGATCTAATTGTCAATATGGGATGAAGGATATTTAAAAGTTAAATTGAAAGTTGAGATCTTTTTCAAGATTTTCAATTCCACCCACGGGTCATTTTGAGATGAATTTTGAGGATTTAAATCATTAATTTTTTAAGATTTATGGAGTAAAATATTCATGTAAAAAATTAAAATAATCAGATATAATTATATGCATCATATTTATTTTTAAAAAATGAATGACAATATAATTTTAAAAATAATAATTTATTTTTTATAATATAAATATATTTCAAACAAATAAATATTAATATCTAATCATTTTGATTTTTTGTATAATTCTTTTACCCAATAAGTTCAAAAAATAAATAGTTTGAATCATCAAAATCTACTCTAAAATAAGTCCATTAAACTCAAACACTCTCTAATTAATACGATCAACTTCAAAGCATTTAACTTCTTCTTTTTTCTTTTCTTTTTTTTTTATTATTATTATTTAACATACACCGCCTCTAGCCTCACTCTACAATTTGGTAGACAAATTTTAACAATAAGGACATTGAAAAAATTAGCATAAAATATCCAGAGTATACCAGGTGTTAATTAGAGATATTAGAGGTGCGATCCACAATACATTAATGTTGTGTTTGATTAGAAAATTTGAGAAGGGATTTGAAAAGAGAAATGAAAAAGGTAGGTGAAATATGAATAAGATATACTTAAATTTCATCTAGTTTTACACACTTTTTCTCTTTTTTTTTTTTTCCAAATACCTTCCCAAATTCCCTAACCAAACACCACATAAGGCTTTGATTTTTTTAAGGAAATACATTAATATTGTGTTTGGTTGGAGGATTTGGAAAGAGAAAATGAAAAGATAGGTGAAATGTGAATAAAATATACCTACATTTCACATAGTTTTACAAACTTTTTTTCCTTTCTTTTTCCAAATCACTTCTCAAATCCCTCAACCAAACAAGGTTTGTATCTACCCTATTGATACATTTGGTGAGCAACTTTCATACTGCCTCAGTTTCATTTTATTGTCTATTATTTTATTTTTTTGTTGTTTCAAAATACATATTTATTTTAAAAAGTCAAAACTTTAAATTTAAATTTTTTTAAATGAGAATAAAGTATATTTTTAAAATTAATCTTTTAAAATTTAAATTCAAATGTAATGATTATGAATTTATATATCCTGTTAAAAAGTTTAAATTTTTAAGAAAAATAATATATAAGTTCACTTTTTAAACTCACTTTATAAACTCAGTGATGTTTCAAGAAGATGATTTGTTGATAATTAGAAAATATTTAATCATCAACAAATCATCCTCTTAACACATCATTAAATCTAGAAAGTGGGTCTAATTGTCAATACGGGATGGAGGATATTTAAAATTTAAATTGAAAGTAGCAATCTTTTTCAGGATTTTCAATTCCACCCAGCATTGTAGGTAGCTTGGCTCTTTCGTATTAATTTGATGAAAGAAAAGTGTTTTAAAGTTTCCTCCAAAAGGTCTGTGTCGTAGGTCTCCCCTAAATTTTGCCTTCAATTTGGTTCTCTCTCTCTCAGCCCATTACTATACACACCATTACGACAGAGACAAGAGAGGTAGGGTAGTCGACAAATAGGGCCGGCAATGGAAGAGGACTCCGACCCAAGGATGGGTTTAAGGGGGTGTGAGTGAGTGTGGTCGTATCCTTAAATTTTTTTGCACCCTCAAAATTTCAAGAGTTCGTACTTTTTAAATTATTTAAAATTTAAATTCAAAGTTGCGATCTTTTTCAAGATTTTCAATTTCACCCAGCATTGTAGGTAGCTTGGCTTTTTCATATTAATTTGATGAAAGAAAAGTGTTTTAAAGTTTCCTCCAAAAGGTTTGTGTCGTAGGTCTACCCCATTACTATACACACCATTACGACAGAGACAAGAGAGGTAGGGTAGTCGACAAATAGGGCCGGCAATGGAAGAGGACTCCGACCCAAGGATGGGTTTAAGGGGGTGTGAGTGAGTGTGGTCGTATCCTTAAATTTTTTTGCACCCTCAAAATTTCAAGAGTTCGTACTTTTTAAATTATTTAAAATTTAAATTCAAAGTTGCGATCTTTTTCAAGATTTTCAATTTCACCCAGCATTGTAGGTAGCTTGGCTTTTTCATATTAATTTGATGAAAGAAAAGTGTTTTAAAGTTTCCTCCAAAAGGTTTGTGTCGTAGGTCTACCCTAATTTTTGCCTTCAATTTGGTTCTCTCTCCCTCAACCCATTACTATACACCACTACGATAGAGACAAGAGAGGTAGGGTAGTCGACAAATAGGGCCAACAATGGAAGAGGACTCCAACCCAAGGATGGATTTAAGGTGGTGTGAGTGAGTGTGGTCGTATCCTTAAATTTTTTTGCACCTTCAAAATTTCAATATTTCGTACTTTTTAAATTATTTATATTATTATAAAATTTTGAAAATAATTTTTAACTTGAGTTTTATCATATATTAATCAATTCTATTTGTTATATGTATTATTTTTTTATATTTATATATTGTTTAGAGTTACTTATATTCTTTTAGTTGTTACTACTCTTCTTTTTTGTTCATATGTCATTCATGTTTTTTTTTTTCTTTTATAAATACACTTCACTTATATCCAACTATATTTTTGTTCTCAATCATGTTGACAAAGAATGTCTGATTAACAATATTACTCTGTCTTTTTTTTTTTTTTGTGCTAGTATAAATCAAAATTTCAAATTTTAGATTACTTTTTTCGATAAAAAATTACTTGTGTTTTTGCCCCTCAAAACTCAAAACTCAAATTCTAGATCCATCCTGCTCCGACCACTCTTTATTCATTTCAAAACAACCACCAATCAACCTTATTCATGTCATTAATGCAATTTTTATAGACTTCTCACTACAGGAAATGTGTGGTATAATGGCGTTTTTTTAACGGCATTTTTTTAAACGTCACATTTTTTAATATTTAACGGCGTTTTATAAACGTCGCAATTTAATTTAATGAAACGGTACCGTTTAACCTGTTTAAAAACGCCTTTGTATGCATCTCACATTTTAATTTAATAAAACGGTACCGTTTAACCCGTTTGAAAACGCCTTCGAATGTATCCCACTCTCACGCGCTCTCTCTCTCTCCCTCTTCAAACCCTCATTGTAATCTGAGAAACCCTTCTTCTCACTTCCACTCACTCAAATCTGAGAAACACCAGTGTATGAATTCTCTCTCTCTCTCTCTCTCTCTCTCTCTCTCGATTTCGAAGCTCCACCACCACCACCACCACCACCACCATCTGCATCGTCTACTAAGGTAAGCACTACTGTCTACAATCTCGATTTCGATGTCGAAGTTCTCTCTCTTTCTCTCAAAATCTTCATTCCGCTGATTCTTCTCCTAGGGTTTACAGTCTTGAATCTCCTCCTAGGGTTGGATGTGAGGTCAGATTGTGTGTCATATCATCATTTCTATTGCAACTTTACTTTTTGTTGTGCTTAAATATCTCAATTGTTTAAATGTTGTTTTGATTACATTTCAGTCCCTTTGTTTGCGATTTGATATGTTAGCAGTGGCTTAATGCATTTCAGAGGCGCAAGTTAATAAAGTTTAAGGCTGATTTGCATCTGTTATTTGTTGAACAAATGGAACCTCCTCTTATCTGGAGATATGGAATTTTCAAACTTTGCATAATTAAATGATAATGAGGTCTTAACAAGGAAGGTGGAATTTGGGTAGAAGTATCTATTCAATTCAAAGTAAAATTGGTAAATACCACCAAATGTGAAATGGCTACCTGATAATCAAACCTACCTTTTTTGTGCCTTGTTGCATTGTGATTAATGGAATTCGGCATGATTGATTTTTGGAATTCGGCATGATTGCATTGCCTTGATTTTTGGTCCAAGTGTGCTGAGATTCAAAATGCCATTTCTGTTGGTCTGGTTTGCATTGCGATTTATAGAAAGGGATTGAGATCAAACAAAGTGGTTCGGAATTGTGGATTAGTCAGTGGTGAACAGGCTTTAGATTATGAATTGGTTCCTTCTACTGTACAGGAAATATTAGATTCCACCACACTCATTAATGGCTCAACTGAGGGATTCATGTAAGACTCATGATTCTTCCACCATCATTTTCCTGTTGTTTTAAATCATTTTTGCATATTTTTATCACCCAATTCACATAATTGAAATATTATTTCATGGTCTTTCAGATACTTCTCTTTGCATTTTGTGAATTGTGATTCTTACAGTTAGTTTCTTTTTTGTACTTTGTATGGTTGTTGAAAGTTCTGAATTGTTTCTTAGCGCGCATACGGGGACCTCAGCGAGTCAATCACGGTCTCCAAGTGTCCAGACTGAGCTTATAATGCTTTCTATACCAGCAATTGCTGGGCAAGCCATTGAGCCCTTGGCACTACTCATGGAGACAGCTTATATTGGCAGAATGGGTAAGTTTTCCCCTCTTCTCTGTTTTATTCTTTGCATCTGTATTCTTTCCCACTTTATGGAGACCAGGAGAGTCTTTTTCTTTGTTTTAACTGCTAATAATCTTGTTTGTAGATTTATAAGAGGACTTGTGCTTGAGACAAATTCGATATGGTGCATATCAATCTGTCCTGACTATAATACTGTTAGTAGGCGTTGGTATTCTATATTGGTTTCTCCATCTGGAAATTTACTTTCTTAATTTGGTTGGTTTGTGTAAGAATATTGTTGTTTCAATTTGTCTATGTTACCATTAATGAAAAAGTTGGGTTACATAATTGAGGAAGTTCTGCTTTTTATTGTTGCTTAGGCTATGTTTGGATCGTGGATTTGGATAAAGATTTGGAAGGGAAAAAGAAAAGATAGGTGAAATGTGAATAAAATATATAGTTACATTTCACCTACCTTTTTGCTTCTCCTTTTCCAAATTCCAATTCAAATCTATGATCCAAACACAACATTAGTGTCCCATGCATGTATATAAATTGGAAAATCTATGATTAATCCTAGTATTCATGTTACAATTATGGTCTTCACCTTCATCAGCATATAAAATTTTGGCATGTTCTGGCCATTTAAGTACCTCAGTTCACAAAAGGCACATCCAATGTGAGAAAGCATTTTATACACTTCAGTGACTACTGCATAGAATCTACTTGACTTGTCCAGGTCTACCGAGGGTTATGTTTATTTTGTGTGATTCTTCTAACGAGAGACATCAAATTTGACACACTTTTGGTGGCTTTGCCAAAATAGATTTATCTTATTTGAACTTGATAAAAGGAAAACTCTCTCTCTCTGATGCATTTCTTTCCTGGAAACAATTTTTTTTTTTTTTAATTTTCTATTTTTCTGTTTTTTGTTTTAGGGTGGTGGCCATGATTCTTCTATTTGTACCATACCATAAGTTAGTTTTTTTTTCTTCATTTATCTTATAATTTAACTGATCTCATATAATTATAAGATGACACTCTCAATGAGGAAAGAATCAATCATTTATGTAAAGACCTAGTTTTAGATTCTTCTAGGTGAGTTTATGGATTGATTCCTTTGCGAAAGATCTAATTATTTGTTTGGGATTTTAATAGTCAGTTTGTCTTGTGATATTTTTTTGATGGTCTGGTTTGTCAAAACTTCACCCTTGACCAATGTATATTTCTGTTTATTTTCCATTATCGTCTGCCACTTCACTGCTTGATGAGCTCTTAAATGCACTTGTATTGGAAAGGTCCCTTGGAGTTGGCATCAGCAGGTGTTTCAATATCAATTTTTAACATCATATCAAAGGTATTCAACATCCCTCTCCTTAGTGTTGCGACTTCGTTTGTAGCTGAAGATATCTCCAAAAATGCAAGCAAGGGATCAACTTCAGGTAAAATTAGAATAGGTGACTTCAATCTCTTGAGCATGAAATACATTACACAAAAATAAGAATTTTTTTTTCTTCCATTTGTTCATTTTGAGAATTTGATGTAAAATGACGATTGTGACAGAAATTAACAACAGTAAACTCCTTGATGAAACAGATGAAAGAACGACACTACCCTTAGTCCCTACTGCCTTACTTTTAGCGCTTGGAATTGGTTTATGTGAAACAAAATGTTTGAAAATTTTAAAAAATAAAATCCCAAAAACATGTTTGTTAATTTTAAAGCATAAAATATTTATTTATGTTAATTATTTATGACAAATCTGTTGTATAGGTCTATTATTTAAATCTGAAAATTTTTGTTTTTTTATAGATTGGTTTCGTTTCAAATTTGATGGAATTGTAGGTGATGAATTGATTCATTGGTCTTGATTTACGACTAAATTGATCCAATACAAACCATGCTTAGGGGTGTAAGAGTGGAGAAATCAGAACTAGGTGCATTGATAGAGAGGGGGAGAGAGAACAGAGAGATACCTTGATCTATGAAAATAGTCAAAATTTGGCAATCAGGATAACCTGTTTTATTCTCCTCTTCCTGAAGCTCATGTTGTCATCTTTACTTCTCTTAAAATTTTCTACTGCATCATTTATTATTTTCCTTCATGTTAAATACAATTGCATCAGCAATGATATGTGCATAAAAGTTTACGCACACAGTATCCACCAATGTCTAACAAAATGTACAAATCGCTGCATTTTGTGCACACAAACTTTCTGTGCGTGTAATGTTTTGCATTTTTATACATGTCAAATGATGAAGTTTCATTTTGTCATGAGAACAATGGTGTTGGTGTTCTTGTTGCAACGACAGATATTCACAAGGCTAATTCTATTCTCTCAGGTTGGAGAACATGAAAACTATGGAATCAGAGACGAATTCCATTGACAGGGCTGTTGCTAACCTCAGTAAGGTGGATTCGGGTGGAATAAATCTCCTCGCTGCAGTGTCATCCAAAGAGGAAGCTAAGGGAACAACCAAGCAGTGCAACTACAGCTTGAATTAGCCACAATAACCTCATTGGCATCACCACACAAGAAGTTCAACCGGTGATGCGAAAGTTCCAATCTTCGGTTAAATGAAGCCACACTTGCTGCTGCAGCAAATAGATCCATGCAAATTTCTCAAGCACTGTATTGTAAGCGCTATGTAGTCGGTACATGCTGTCTTAACTCAACAGAGATGCACATTTCAGATTTCATGGAGTACGTGGACCTCTTTAAATGCGTATGTATATATATATATATCAAAGTGGTTTGTATTTGTTAACAGTATGTGAATTCTTGATGCATCCACTCAATTAATCTGTGTCAATGTGTGTATTGTTATGTGCCTGACATAGATACTTCACACATACAAAAGTCCACGTTATACACTCATGCACAATAATGTAACCGGTGCCTCTATGCATATTGTATCGTGGATGACATGAGTCCTGTACAAGCATCACCATTGTTGTCATAGATTCATTTTATTTAATATTGAATTGTGAATTGTAAGATTCATTTTATTTAATATGATATATACTTTTGTATATTTATAAACATATAAAAATGTACACTTTTTGAAATAAAGTAAATTATCAATATGACTAAATCGTATATGTGCATATACGTATAAGGGCAAGTATATCAATATAACGAATTAATCTCTTCTATATATCTTGGTGGTTTGGCAAAAATGATGTCATTTCATTGGTATTTTTTTACTAGCGATGGGGTAGATCCCCTACCCATTCCCACCAAATTTCGCTTCTTTCCCCAACAAGGACCACTCTGCATGCACATGTAGTTATACATTCCACTCTAATTTTTAGTTTGTCTGCAGTGGTTGACTTTCATTGATTCCGAAGGACGAATCATAGATTCAAAAGCTTTAAGGAAGAGAATATTTTATGGGGGAGTTGATCCCGGACTGCGGAAAGAGGTTTGTATATTGTAGTATGAAGAAGTGGCATGCTGATCTTTTATTTTTCTAGGTTGAATGTGCATTTTTGTTATGTGAAACTTCTTTTTAATGATTACAGGTAAGCCAATACAGCTTCCTAACCAAACTTGACCAAGGTTTAATTGAGGGAGTTGCTAGCTATCCAAATTGGAGCAAACTTCTCATCTGTTTGCATAGCTCAAGCTTTTATATTTTCAGGGTATACAGACTACTAGATTTGTAGGAATTCAGTGTAAGATATTAACAGGGGATATTTGGCTAGGTTCTAGGTTCTAGTTTGATTGTGTTCAAACCTGAAGGCAGACACTTTGTGCATCTGATGTTTATGTATATTTACATTGTGGTTTCTTTCAAAAAACTTTTTACGTGCTTAAGGATGCTTTATTCTTTTCTTTCAGAGTTCTCGAGAACATGGAAAAAGCTTTACAAATTTAGGGAGAGGAGGCCTTATTGATGAACATTATAATTTTTTCCTTGCAGCTTCTATTGGATGAAGAGAGAGGGAATGTGATATATGCTGGACTCTCGGTTCGATTCTCAAAAGCTTTGTTGAATATTTTAGGTCGTTTTTCATTTCCTCCATAGCTAGTTTCTAAAGAGTCATTAAAATTTATCAATTTGAAAGTTCGAATATGATGAATCCATCGTTCTCCTGAAGGCTGTTCAGGGGTTCATAACATTACTGAGGTTTACAATCAGCTACTTGGATGTTGGCGTCAGCTCTACTTCAGTTGAGGACACTTGATGTTGACTTTGCAGAAATTTATGCCAATTTATGCGCTCTACAGTATGTTTAATGACAGTACTGAGTCCTTTACATTTATCACTGTCTCTCTCATCTCTCTTCTCTTCCTCATTGTCCGAGTGCGTGCTGATATTTCTCATAATTTTCTTTTCAAGAGAATCAGGAACTTATCAAGGAATAAGCATCCAGCACCAGGTACCAATGACCTTTATTCCCTACAAATACTCGAATCCTTATAACTTCAATGCTTGGCTTTGCTTCTGGAAAAACACTGGTCTTACTGGAGGAACTCACAGTAACAATGCATCAGATTCTTCATGACATTGTCATACGGATTATTTTTGGTGTTATCTCTTGGGCAAAGGAGGAAAATGCAAGTCTATAATTTTTGGCATTTACATCTAGTTATCACTTTTGTGGTAATTATTATTATTATTATCAATTGGACGTCAATATAAATGAAGATAATTGTATAATTTCTGGTCAACAGACACCCAAAAACAACAAGACTTGGCTTAATCTGCTTGGAGCTACATTTTGCTGTCCTTTTCTTGGAGCTCAATGCTAATCGCGGTCAAATTGTTGTAGAGTTTGAGAGAATAGTATTTTACGTGAAAGGGCAGCTGGATGTATTCAGAGTTGCTTACGCATTTGCTCAGGTAAGGATAAAGAAATTACATCACATCTTCTTTCTTTTCACTAAGAAGAATTTTGTTTTTTTTGGGGGGGGGTTTTAAAACATATGGTCTCCCACATCATATTTACACGGTACTTTTTTATTCGGTGGCCATAGAACAATTTATGTTGTAATATCGACTTTACTATGCTTTTTCTTCCTTTACTCGATGAATTGGCTTTGAATGGCAGGATCAAAGTTCTTTATTTCTACTACTTCATATTCATGTGCTTTACTACTTTCCATGTATGGAATGACGTTTTGTGGTTTGGATCTAACCATCAATTTGCGGCTTATTGTCATGCCTTCTTCTTCAGTTTTTGGAACTTGTTCTCTGATTTTTTTTTTCCTCATCCCAGGCCGGTAATGTATCTATAACGTGAAATATATTTCCAGCGCTCACATATATACTGTATGAGGAGTTTTGTTATTGTTTTTTGTCATACTTCATATATGCTTTTTTAACTTGAAAATCAATGTATTATTTCATAATTATGACTTGTGCTCTCTAGAACATAAACGTTTGTTTTTTTCATATATATATATATATATTTATTATTCTTTATTTATAATAAATTATATAGCTCTCTTAAAGTTTAACAAAAACACCTAATAATTTAGAAAAATCTGGTATGGCTAAGATCATTTACTTTAAATCTTTTTGGATTCACTCAGTGGCGACTCCAGGTTTTTATAAGGATGGGGTTTCTCTAAAAACTTAAGTTCCACAATTTTCTGAGTAAAAAAATTAAACTAATTATAATTTAAACTTCTTCAACTTCAAGTAAAATAAACTTTTAATTAAATCTAGTGTCTTAACAGAATAAAAAATATGTAAGTTCTCAATTACATCAATGAGGTGCCATTTTTTGAAATTTTGGCAGTGAATAAATTCATTTAATAGTGTAACAATCATTTTCTATGTATAGTTATCAAGCAATCATTCAACACTGATTTGCTGGGTCAATTGATTATTAAGTAAAAATTTACTAATTAAAAAAAAAAATAAAAAGCTTTGGCAAGCTGATGGGGAGATGGTCACCATCAGTTGCTTGGTAAGAGTTGGCATTGATTCAATTGTTTCGATTATTCTTTGAGTATTTATTTCTATTGTGACTGTAAATGCTTTCTATTACAGACTTGCACTTGCTTGTCTGTCTATACTGAAATTGGGTAAGCATTGAATCTTGTTGCGCATCTACTAAGTATTCTTCCATAATTTTTTTTCTTCATGAATTGCTAGTGGCATCAAGTTTTTGAGAATTTTATTTATGTACAAGAGTGATGGGCATGCTTACTCTTCTATACGCAATGCTGTAGATTTTCATTTGTAGCAATGTTTATTCATGCAAGAGGCATAAGCTTTATTTGCTCAGGAAACTATTGTTGGGTGATTTTAATCTATAGGATTTGAAGCCTTGTAAACCATTTCTCCAACAAATTTTAATAGTCTCATAAAATTCTACTGTTCAAGCTCTCTTGGAAGACAAAGAGGAAAATTGTTGGAAAGTGGAAGGGTTATGTGGATTCACTTAAGATTTTCTCAAGTTATTCGCTTGTTTTGTTGGTCAAACAATTGGCTGTACTTGTTGGTTGATGTGATATTGGTGTGTTTTAATGTTTAATTTTATTCTCAGTGTTGATTCCT